TTTAGAATGAATCCTAATTGCTGTGAACTTGGATAAACATAAGAAAAAAAAACCTACTTATACTCAAAGCAGTCATTAACATGTATTTTCCTGAGAGTAGGACAGAAGAATGGCACTGTCATGAATTAGTTATGCCACATTTCCAAGAGGGACTGAGAGGAAGCTGATATAAACACACATTTGATTCTGCTGGTAAGAATCAAGAATTAAGTTGCTTCCCTGCTCAAGGCTCTTAACCTTCCACTCTAGCACGGAAAACATGATTGAATGCTTAGTGCAGCGGCCAAAAACCTGTTTTAACATTTATATTTAATAATAAAAAGAAACACAACATTTTAGTGTTGAACAGACTCCACAGAAGATTCATTACTCCGTTAGCCCATGACTTTTCTTATCCAGTGTCTGAGGTGCAGAAGTGCAGACAGAAATCCATCACAGTTCATGATCGCACTCATCTCAGAAAGGAATTCTGCCTTTAAATAAATACGCTGCCCACACTAAACAAATGGAAACATCTCTTACATGGGATGTTTGTACAGTAATTTGATAATAGGTTCAATAAACACACTATAAACAAAAAGAAAATGAAAGCTAAAGAATATAAGATCCTAAAAGCATCATCAACAATTCTGCCTGTTTTTACATTCCTATAGGCTAGGAAGAAAGAAAAGTATTTTATTACGTGAAAGATTCTGTTCAGTACCCATGAGGCATTGGTATGTGTTTTTATTAGTCTACATTTTAAAATTCAAATTTCCTTTACATAATTCCAGATATTTTAATTAAATTAAAAATATTGAGCAGGATAGACTTTTGGCAGTTTTGGATGATCACATTACCACCAGACTTGTTTTGTCCCATTCTTATTGCTTTTAACTAGTGTCTTCTCCCCACAAACATGTAAGTTGCTTTATTATATAGATGCATCGAACAAATAATTTCTAGCAGAACTAGCTGATTAAAACGGGCAGTTTCTTAGTTTCTTCTTAATGTTTCTATGCTACAAAAAAAATCAAGTTTAGAAACACATACAACTTATTCTACTAATTAAGCTTTACATAAGGATACTAAAAAAGCTATTCCCTTCTCTTTCTGAACTGTTTCGGAAGGATTTTTTTTAATGTATTTAGTGAACTTTTAATCTTCCACTTTGTAAGTAAAGAAAAATCGAAAGGGAAAAATGAATATGAAAAAGACAGCTTTCAAGAATGTCTGAATATGAGAAGCAGAGTGTTCACCCCTTTTCCTAGGACAGTATTTTTCTTTGACACTCAAGGCTGTTCCTCTCTACCCAAAGTAATCTTTATTCATCAAAAATAGTAATTATTTGCAATCTCTCTACGTAACTTTTTATAGATACAACTCTGTATTTGGTATGCTGTGAAATTCACTGTCATGTAATATTGTGACTCAGTCGTTCAGTGAATGCTGTATCGCCTGCTTGGAATAGAAGTTACTCATAAAAACCAGCTTATTCCGATTCAGCATGTTCAAGCGAAGTGAGCGTAACACAAGACAAGTCCCCCTACCCTACGGCCTATTGCCTACAACAAACAAGGTCACGCTTCGAGCTCTACGGGGCAGTTTACAACCATTACTTCCCTCTTCCCACCGCAGTGACGCACCGCACGCCGCGACGCAGACCGCGCGCAGCAGGTTCAGGTCCAGGTTCACGTTCAGTCCTGCGCTCTGCGAGACCGGTTCTGATCCATGGCGGTGAAGAACCAGCAGACAGCGGCCGTGATGAACACGTGCACCCCCTCGTAGAGCAGTTTTGGGGAGAAGACGCTCCATATGAACAGGTGGTGGCGCAGGCTGGTGACCAGAATGATGTAGACGGCGACTGGGACCGAGCGTACCAGAGCGTAGCAGAAGCAGCCGTGACCCATTGCTGCCGAATTCCTGGTAACGAAGACAGAGGAGCTCATTCGCAGCCCAGCACAGTAAAGACATCATAATTTCTCCACTTTTTAGCATATTTCACAACACACAGAATTTTCACAGACCTCCACCTTAAGAAAAACCTCTTCTGGTGCAATGATGTAATTTTACAAAGCTTTCCCTTACCACATCCATATATCTTAAAATGTAAGATCATCACATATTTGCATAGCAATTGCCACTGCAATAGCAGCAGCGAGTAGTTCACCTCAAACTCCGAGGGCTGTGTGTTTCAGCATGTTTTGTTCCAATCATTAAAGCCTACATTAAGCCATTTCAAGAAGGTTCCATCTGTTTTTAGCCTTGCAGGGCCTCTCCGCTGCGACCGGATGGTCGCAGGCAGGGCAGATTTCCTTGCACCTTCACAAAGCTGCTTAGCCCGTTTAAAGGATGGTCAGGTGGGGTCTGCTCTCCTTATGAAGGCACAGAACTTGCCAAGGAACACTGCTGTCCAAAAGCAAAGGTACCGGTTAAAGCAACACAGGAATGGTGTTACTAATAAAGTTTGCAAAGCGACCTTAGCACAGTCCTACCTGAGATCACCATACTAAGTTTACATGAGCAATCCATCACATTCCAGTCACAGAAACACACGACTAGCCTAGCTGGGGCTAAGTACTGCAGGAAGTATTGCTGGGTATTGCAAGAAATGCCTTCCCTGTCTGTAACCCACTTGGGTCCAAATCTTTCAGTTTTCAGGTATTCAAGTGGCAATGGAAATGAAAGGGGTCTCTGCACTGTGTTGTTTGCCCTCCTCGGAGGTGCCAATTGCTTCACAACGATGCCAGGTTGGCATGTGCACCTTCACCCCGCACCAAACCAGCAGCAACTTCAGTTACATCAAATTCCAACTCCTACTTGGGCATACAAGAGACACGAGCAAAGCCAACTCACTGGAATAATACACACGTGTTTTCCTCTTCCATTTGAAGTATTTTCCATCATCAATACCCCAAAGAACCCCAAAGAAGGTATCAGCAGAAAGTGCAAGTGAGTTACGCTGAAATCCTGACCTGAGTGTCTGTACTGTTCCTCCCCATTTTTAATCTTGATTTTGTTCCAAATAATACAAAATTTAAGATGACTGGCACCTCTATGAGATGTAAATTAGTCACTTATGACTAAGTAAGCTGCAGAATGTGACATTACACATAAACCACTACATTTATTATTCTTCAAATCCAAATAGTACATTTATTATTCTTCAAATCCAAATAGTTATGACCAAGTCCTGTTTTCCAGTGGAGCCAAGAGCAAATTTTGCAAGGGCTTTAGCGGGAGGAAGAACAACAGAGTCATGGAGGGAGAGCTGAAGAACAAACAGCCGGTGCGAATGTCTGCAAAACAAACATGCTCATTCACACAACACCATTTCCCTAGCTGCTCTGCCACAAAAAATGTGCCCCGAGAGGGAACTGGAGGTTCCTCCCCTCTCCTGCTTAACCATCGCAGCCCGCTGAGCTCGTGCAGCTTTATGTTCAATAAGTGATTTTCTTGACTTAAGCAAACTGCACTGCACTCAGTCTTAGCTGTATTCAAGCTGATATGCCTAAAAACAGTGTTTGTAGAAGGTATGAGATACAACTGAAAAAAAAAAACCCATAAAGGAAATGGCTGTTGAGTGAGCGATTTTTTAAGGCTTTTCCTAAAATACAATGCTGTTGAGCGATCAGCTAGATGAAGGCTATCAATCACTGGACATCTATCACAGTTACTAAGCACAGTGCAATTTTCAACAGAAACTCAAAGGAGAGTAATGAAAGAGTTTATGAAGTTATGCATTCAACTCTTTCAGGAGCTGCGCTTTCTTAATTTAATTTTAATTCCATGTCTCTTTCTTAAGTTCTTGTTTGCCTAAGAATACTTGTAGTACCTTATGGAGTGAAAACTCTTCTAACTCAAGATTAACAGTTTTAAGATGTTTCAAAAAGCTGTTTCCCTAATTATGCAGAAAATGGTTGGAAGATTATTTGGAGTGGAATCCATGTCTAATTACACATAATTAGGTAGGCATTTCATACCAGAACTACAGTATACTGAAAACTAATTTTATTATTACAGCTAAAATTCTGTAATTTTGCAGCATATTCTACTTGTACGATACTTCTGCTTCAAAAAGGTCCCAGCACTCACTTTGTCTCTCAAAAACTGCCACCCACCTGCAGAGGAAAACCTGGGCAGCTTCACGGTATTATGCAGCAGTGCAGTACAACAGAAGGCAAGAGAAGTACACTGTATCCAAACTAAACTGCTTTGGGGGTTTAATAGCATGATAATTCAGTGTATTTCAGAGACAGTGTAACAGTTCACTTCCCTCTTGTTGCAGAAACAGAGCTGGAATGGGTGAGCAAAAGCAATTAAAGCTACTCTGTTATCCTGGTGCTAAGGCAACATCCTAGTCCTAAATCCCATCCAAAACATCCTGCTGTAACTACCCCATCCTAAACAGTCCCTGCAGCAATGAAGTCCTGTTTCTATTTGAAGAAGAGCAGAATCAAAGGGATGCCATTGTACACAGTGCTTGAATGCTGTAACAAAGCCAGTGCCTTACGCAGGCCCCAGCTCCTGTAACGCAGGAGTGAAAGGAGAACCAGTCTCCAACGGTGAGATCGCCGAGTAAGTCAACCTCCGTGGGCTCTGAGGAACCAAAATGTGCTGAGATGTCAAGATAAACGCCAACGGTCCTTCCCTTCCGTGCTGAAGATATCAAGATAAACGCCAACGGTGCTTCCCTTCCATGCTGAAGACTGCCAGATCCAGAAAGGTCAAGGGCTTCAGAGACTTCTGAGGCAAAGAAAACGCAGATCCATCTCACTGAACAGTCCCTGTTCAGAGGGAGGCCAGAGCACAGAGTCTAAAGCACAATCTAAAGTACGAAGCTTTGAAGGAAAAAACTCATTTCAACTGAGTATTTGGAAGAAAAGGATGGCCAAGGAACTGTACTATCAGTGCGTCTGCTGCTGCTTTGGATCCCCTAAATCTTAACTGCCAACGTTTTGTCATCAGTCTTCCACATCTCAATGCCTACCTCTAACATGCTAGCAAAAAGGGTTACACACCTACAATCCAAGGTCTATAAAATGAAGAGACTACATTCACAAAAAACATGAAAGGAAAATCACTCTTTTCTTGTGAAAGTCTACGTCCCATTTATACAGAATATTTGGCAGATGGTAGCATGAGTTTCTCATTCTAAAAACAAGCAAAAAAAAAAAAATTCCAGAGACAGCCCTAGAGACATTTCCAAAAGGAATTTAAAGAATTCACCATTTGACATTGCTGTAACCCTTGATCCCCCAAATCAAATGGACATTTTAGAAAAAGGCATACATATGAGTGAGGAACAGCCCAGGGTCATCATTTTTGTGGAGCCTGAGGGAAGGGAAGGCAGAGGTGTTATCTGGAGGGTTTCACTGTGAACTCTGCTGAAAGCCTTCAATGAAAGTTAATCACTCTGACATTTCTGCTCTTCAGGCTGGTGCTGAATATCACTGTCCAGATTAGCATTAATATAGTAAAAAATGTTTACTCAAATATGCAAATGTAGTAACCCTAAGAAGAGATAAATTTCTTCCTACTCTTCTGTAATTTCAGTTTGCAAGATCTCCCTGTTTAGTGTTCTCTGAATAAATAGTTGCCATTTTGTTAATCAACTATGTATATATTAATAAAAGGTTGCAATCAGAAACAAACCCCTGCAGCACTCCAAATGTCTGCGACATTATAGAGTACTAGTAATCTACAAGAAATTCCTCAAATCTAATCCAAAATCAAATTAGTTTAGCAAGCAAGGATGGATTTGCTATGTCTTTCCCACATGTCTTACTCCATCCTACTATAATTCTTATAGTGCTATTTTAGACAGTAGCTTGCAATCTCGCACTGTGATGAAAAAAGACTTGATATTTTTAGCAGATCCAAAGGAGCCAAGAGTCCTTTGGAAATTTACATGATCAATCCTGGAAGAGACTATCAGTCATCACGGTCTTTTTCAATTATTCCTGCATTAATTCTACAGGGCCACAACTTTTAAGAGCACATCCTCACAAACAGGCCCTTGTCAAAAGGGCCACGGTCAGCAAGCTACAAGGGGATAGCCAGCCTAGTCTGCAACCATGTAAAATAAGGAACTTGGAGACCACTGCTAATTTTCATCTATGTTTCTTTTGTCAGTAAGAAAGTTGGAGAGGCTAAAATTATCCCAGAAAGGCCAATTTCTGAGTTAAAAAGTTACAGTGGATTGCATTATGTCCTGAAGAACAGCATGTTCTCATAAAGTCTTAGCTCTGAAAGGGTAATAAGCCCTGAAATGTCAATTCTTTTAATTTCAGCATCAAGGGGTGGAAAGATTTGGATCACCTGGATGGTTTTGTCTGTTTTTGCTGTGAGCATAATCAGTTGCTCTGGGAAGTTCCTGTCAAGGGAATGAAGAATCAGGCATCCAGAAAAGGTAGATGCTTCTCATTGACCTCCACCATTAATCACTGCTCAGAACAAAGCTCTGGGTGGAATAGCTAAGCCATGGGGCACATATCAGTTAGGTTTCAGATCTTGTTTTCCTTTCTTCATTCAAGTTTAGCCCTGGGAAGCAACCTGCTGTTCCGGAGGACTCCCAAGAGCCCACCTGGTAAGATTTATGTTAGATGGCAACTATGCTGTCACCTCCAAGAGAGTCTGAGCAGGAGCTCTGAACGGCTACTGCATCATGTAAGGAGGGCAGGAACCAGCTGCACCTGTAGTCAAGGCTCAAAATTCATTTTAAAATCCTAGCAAATCTTAAAGTCTGCCCACTGGATCCAATTCTTCCCCTCTACATGCTGATTTACCCAAGCACTAGCCCTCTGCCAGTTAACTTTCAAAGATTTAAAGCTCTCTGTTTCTCAGATCCACTGAACCTGTCAACACTTTCCCTTACAGGAAAGACAAAGCACTGCACAACCTCAAAAATCTATGTCTATTTC